GGAAGAAGTGAAAGAGCAAGTTCGTGCCATGCAACGTTAACATTTCATTTGTTGTACTCTTTAACTGCATTGTGTATCACCTGAAATGGTTTAACATGATTCTGTAAGATGTATTTGGAGCTCAATGAGAAGGATATTGAGAGGTAATAACAGATGATTGAAAATGCTATTATTTATTTTTGCATAGTTACTACATCACATCAGTGAATAATAAATATACTGAGCTATGTAGATAGCATAATGTGTATAGAGTGGCTTAGAATTGAAGATCCACTCAACCCAGTGGTCTGGTAGTTAGTATTAGTGAATGTCCTCACTATCATTCCAGTGATTACATGTTTATAGTTTGTAGAAGTATTTGATTTGTTTCTACAAGTATTGTATATGTATGTGCTCCAATAAGGCAGATTTAAAATCCAGTTTCTGGAGAGGATGTCATAAGATATGTCAGCCCATAGTCATACCTTTTCTGTGAAAATTTGGTTCATGAAACTGTGAGTACTCCATTTTAACTTAGTCAAGTTCACATGTATTGGTTTTCACTGGTACAATGTAGAGGTCTGCATGGGCCAAAATGTTATAATTTGAGCCAGCCTGAGAAGCATTTGGCCTGAGCCTGAAGTTTGCCTTTAGATGTGGTACTTGCACTCCACCTAATCCCAATTTCCTTTTAATTCCAACCTGAATGAAGCCCAGTCTACTCAGAATCTGCCCTGACCATCATGCCATTAATGCATAAATGCCAATAATCCTTGAATGAAGATTTCCGTCTTCTGGGTTGTTGCGCTGTGAGAACCTCAAGTCTTACAATCCTTGAATGAATTATTTAACAATGCTGTAAGAACATCTGATATTATTTTGGTGTTTTAGGAACAGTACAAAAATATCTGGTGCCAAGTTTGAATTGGCATTTTCTTGAACTGTTTCTGGGAGGGTGCAGCTACAAAAATCCCCAAGAAAATCAAGTTGGTGGGATTTTGTTTCTGGAGCCTGACTGTGTCATGAGCATGAGATGAGTATAAGTATGAATAACTTTTTCTTTGGGGAGAGAGAGAGAGAGAGACGATTGCTCTTAGAAAGTTCAAAATGTTTTATATCACGTTTGATTAATATCATTTTAACCAGGCCTGGCCTGGATCCAAATATTCGTGCTACCAGGCCAGGTTAGGCTGAAGCCTGAGTGCCAGGCCTGGGCCTGTTCAGACCTCTAGCACAATGGAAAGTTTAGTTATGGGTTCAGTTTCAATGATATGAAAGCTTCCTCTTCTGTTAGTTTAGCAGACACAGTATGAATTTCATTGAGACTTTGGAAACATGTTAATTATACTAGTTCCTTGATATATATCAGATTACAAACATAACAGGACTGTCAGGGTTCTAAAAAAGAGATGGTAGATGGCAGTAGCATTATCTTAGCACTAGCATATTAATAGGAAATTTGCATAAAGTTGTACATTTCATATGATTTTGGGTAATTATGATATATTGATGTATCATTATAAATCCTAACTAAAGCACAAACCTAACTCAATAAAAATTAAACTTGTGTAATATATGAAGATGGCTATCTTCTGGGTTATTGTGTCATGGAGGCAGCAAGCACCTCAGAAACACTGGTAAACTTCTACTAGACTACATAGTGCAACAACCAAGAAGACAGCCATATTTGTACTTGCCACCATGAGAACACAAAGTCTCATTTGTGTAACATAACTTACAGCCAGACCCAGTGTGGTGACTTTTGTTGTACTGTGCATGAATTTATGAATTTTTTTCTGCCATACCGAAACCCAAACTAAATCAGCAAAATCACTGACCTAAACCAATGAAAACTAAACATACCTGTTATAAGTTTTACCCAAATCAAATATGCTTAATTTTATTTCACATCATTTAAATTCCAAATAAAGCACTAATGTAAGGTGCCTTAATCAAAACTATCTTACATAACATACCTTCCTTCTGAACCATTTGTCTCAAAATTTCAGAATGTATAACCATACCTCACCATCTGATCTATTCAAATTTTCCACCACTTAAAATATCCCATACTGACTGAAGTTCATATTACAAAACCAAAGGACCATAAGTGGGTCAAAAGTTGGCTAGGTATACCAAAACATTCTCACATAAATTTGTTGAATGAAATTTGGTTAGAGTCGATGGACTGAATAACTATGTGCGAATGGATGAGGACACATACTTGGAGCTAAACTTAGTTTCTCCAGTTATCGGGAAGGAAGACATTGTAATGAGAACAGCAATTTCTCCACATTAATGGTTGTGTGCTACCCTAAGGTTTCTGGCTTCTTGAAGGAACTATTAGGATTTAAAGTTTTCAGTGGCAATTTCAGCACAGGCACTAGGGAAAGTTATTCCAGAAATGTGCACAGCAATTTACAAGGTTCTTCAAAAAGAATACTGCAAGGTAAGTCATAAATATTTATTCAAATATCTGCAATTATAGAACAAAAATATTTATTGAAATATTAGTTCTGCAAGGCAGTGTTAGATGTGGGTGCTGGAAGGTATTCATTCATTCGGTGTAAAATGCTGAAAGTTCTTCAGCAATATGTGCACCGTAGTTGGAGTATGCTGGCCGACTCTGCAGCCTCTCTGCTACCAAGTTCAGTACCATGTCCTGCTTATTGGTATGCTGAATCTTCCTCTTTCTGCCATCTCTAGACAATGTGCTGCTACCTAATGAAATAGGCGTGACAGCGGCTGCGATGCAGCTGCATTGTTGCTTTCGATTTCTTCCTGAAATATACATGTTAATGAACTTTTCTTTTATGAAACAAAATCCAACAGAATATACATCTAATACACTTTTCTTTTACAGTTTCCTGAATCGGAGAATGAATGGAAAGAATTTGGGTTGTAATTTGAGAAAAGACTACAATTTCCAATCTGTCGGCACAGACGATGGGAAACACATTTGAATTGTTCTCCCACCTGGAAGTGGGTCATATTTTTGGAATTACAAAGGATTTCACAATGTAGTTCTGATGGTAGTCACTAATAGCAATTATGAGTTAATATTATTTGATGTTGGAACTAACGGAAGCATTTCAGATGGTGATGTTATCAACAATACAACATTTTACAAAGCATTAGTGGAAGGTAAATTGAAATTACCACCTGAAAACAACAACAATCTTCCTCCATACGTTTTCATTGGTGATGAAAATATTTTTTGAAATCGTACAGTGAAAAGGAGTAGAAGCATGACTGCTTACATTTCAGTTAAGCAGTGCTAGGTGAATTATAGAAAATGTAATTGGAATCCTGGCCAACTGGTTTCGAGTGTTTCATACAGCACTTGGGGTATCATTAGATAATGCTGAATCCATGAGTGTTTGAGCCGTGCATAACTTTTTACGCAAAAAATACCCCAGTTCTTACTGCGACTTTCTCAGTAATGATAATGATTAAGCAAATTCAAGTAGTTAAGACACAGAGGACATAATAGATACAGCAGTAAATAAGGTAAACAAGTGCGAGAGTTATTTCTGGAATATTTTAAAAACAATTGACTTTTGCAGCGAGAAAAGTGTCCCCATTGAAAATTGGGGTTTTTAATCTGGATAGCTACATGTTATAATAAGTTGCCTGAAAATATATATTTGTTTGCTACCAATATGATTTGTTTATGCTTACCCCATTCTCCTCTTCTGTACAACTCTCAACAATCGGCATGTTGGATATGCTGCCTCTAGGGATTTCCAGGTCATGTGGAAATACCCAAGAGATGGTTCCTATACTTCTCAGCTTGCACTGCTTTTTTTTTACACTGTGCCACTTTCTTAAGCTCTTTCTGTAAGAATTGCGTATATTGTTGATATTCTTTGCTACGGTATCCTTTGTTGCAATACAATCCATTTTTTGCATTTTTCCAACAAGCTTAAACATGCAGTTTATCAATTGTTTGCTTGAGTACTGCTTGCTTTTTATGTTGTACAAACAAGGCAGAGACCTGTAAAACTCAATGAATTCGGAGATGAATTCATGAGGCCAGGATCTCAAATCATCCATCACGCCAATAATGTTAATCACAAAACAAACAATTCTGTATAGTGCTGTGCTGACTGAGATGACTAAATGCTACAAGTCTTACCTCTACCTTTGTCTTTGCCCACACATGTTACGACTTGTAAACATCTGTGTAAACCTCCAGGTAAAAAAATAAAGCGACTGCAGATTTATCGGAGGCTCGATTTCCGGCCAAACCTTCTGGCAAAATTAACCACGCTCCGGTTTGCCTTCCCAGACGTAAGCCTTCCAGTAACTTGTAGCATGTATGGCCACCCTTACATTCTTGATTTACTGAATATCCCTTTATCAACTTCATGATGACATGATTGTGAATAATGAATTTAGAAGGATATGGAAGGAAGTTTAATGACCTACTACAAGATACTACTGCAGTATTTTTTTTTTGAATATCATGAAAAATGGTGATGTCATCCTGTCTACAGTTGAGAATTCAACCCAACGTCAGTCACATAAGTAAGTGTTAATCTCTTTCTGCACACTCACTGTTTTCTGTTTTGGGTTTATTTCATATTAACAATTTTATCTTTGTCAGTGTAACTCATTACTTCACCACTATTATCTCTATGATAACTAAATGATATGTCTGGCCTAGATCTACTAAAGTCCAAGCAAAGGCTCAGAAAACTGACATGAAACCTACATCCAACAGTAGTTAACTGCGTCACTTGAACCAGTGATGCGCAAACGGTGTCCTGAGGTCATCTGGGTGTGCAATGAAATTCTCACCTTGTATTATAATTATAACCATAACGAGATACATAATTGTTTGTTTTCTGCTCTGTCTTAGTTTTCATTTTCTTCATTATTGTCGGGCTGATGATCTACTGAATGGAATTGGAAAGTAACCCAACCACTTTGCAGCAAAACATATGTACCCACACTTTACTTTTATTGCTACTTTAGGTATTTTTCTGTGAAGAGAGGTGACAGTAAATGGGAACCACATAGCAATTAAATGGATTATCATTATCAGTCCAGCTTTCAGTGTATAAAGTTGGTGACCCATCAGAATTCAAATCCATGATGGGTTTTCTTGGGAAAGAAAATCTTGAGGTAGTTTCCCATTGCTTTCCTTAAGGCTTGTTTTAGGCTGCCCCTAACTTGGGGAACAGACGCCTTTTGCAGCCGCCCCTAACCTGGAGAACAGACGCTAGATGATGGATTTCAGTGGCATATCCTCCACTGAGGGGACCAGCACCCCACCTAAAGGGGCTTCTCCGCCTGAAGCCGTTGGTCCCCTTAGAGAGTCTGGTTATTTACCGCTGCCTGACACTCGGCGTCGAGTTGCTGGCTGTATGGTCTACTCAGTTACCATAGCGGGGTGACCCAGTCAGACTGTTTAAATGGATTATAGATTTTTATAATAGGATAATTATTGATGTCTAGTTTTATTTTAAATCTAATATTTTCTCTGCTCACATCTACTGTTTGTAAATGACGGTCATATTCTATATGCAGTGGGATCTTTGGGTCGCAGGAAACATTTGGATACTGTAAAATAATTACAAACAAAATATGAATAAATATCTTTAGGTTTTAATGATTACACATAGTTAATAAATTTTGGATTAAACAACATGTATGAATGTGTTTTAATTTATTTCAAATAAGAAGTTGTCACGGCCAATCAATGTCATAAACCATGTAACACACCCCCCCCCCCCCCCCCACAAAAAAAAAAAGGACGGCGGCCACCATGACTCTTCAACAATATTTAGTGTGCCACGAGTGTAGAAAGGTTGCCCAACACTGACTTAAACCATCAGGCAAACAGCTTCGGAAAGGCACCTTGAACAGTGGGAAAAAGAATGTGGAACTAAGAAGCCACACCTCATACTATCTGATTTAATGCAAAATATCTTTAAAAAATTCGAGTGGACCAAAGGCACCAACTGTAATTTAGCCTTAAATTTTATTAGAGGACATGGCAACCTTTTCACTACTGCTTGCCACATTGGCCATTTACATCTTTTCAAGGACTGCAAAAAAAAAAAAAAGTGTCATGGACAGTAAGAGAAACTGGTGATTGTATTTCCCCACACAACTGAGATCATAATAATCTCTCAATAAGCCTCTAATGTACTAATTTTTAAAAAGTAAAAGCATACCTGACATCATGAAAGAAAGTTCAGAATGTTATGTAAGATGTATTTCAAAAGAATAAACTTATACTTCCAAATAAATACTCTGTGTTATTGTTATTTAATGAATTAAATTATTTTTATTTTTAAAATGTACATCCCTCAAAATGAAAACTATTAATCACGCTGGAATTGCCGAGTGCAGGAAGGCATAAAGCATGAAATTCAGTTAGTCACCAGTGGTATAATATACAGTAAAATCTCTCTAAGTTGGACACTTGGGGTTCCACGAAAATGACCAACTTACAAAGGTGTCCAAGATAGAGGGAAAGGGGAAAATCATCCTTTCAAATTGTGGTGTAATGACAATGTGGTAATTGTTGAGTATTATGAAGCCCTTCACAAAAAGGAAATTATTGATAAGAAAAATGAATAGGGTAAATTAAATTTTTACAAATTTTGTTTTCACTAAATTAAACTTGCATGGATAAGGTCAAAGGGAAGGACACCAATACTTTACGTTTACCGACAATGTAATCTATTTACTTACATAATCTAACAAATGCAAGCACAGTACTGAGAAGTTAACACTGTGTCTTCTGCAATACTGTAGTCCAGTTAAGGGTTCAGCAAAAGAATAGTTAGTCCATAATATAATCCTCCAGAGAGGAGGTACTCATCAGTCAGAAATTCCAAATATGTAACTGAAAACGTTTCTCTGAAAAGCTACTGAAGCTAAGTGCATGAACCTGTCCAACTTACAACAAAAGGGGTGTTCAAGCTATAGGGTATTGTGGACATGTAAAATTATAGGATATTCGCAGGTTCCAATTGAAAGTGTCCAATTTGAGGGGTTTTACTGTATATACCAAATCTCTAGCCATTCTCTATTTATTAAATGTGTCCAAACAGATGTCTGTTGTGATGACATCAGATTAGGCAAGGTTTAATTGGGAAAGGTCAGATGAATGTTGTACAGAGGATGTGTAATGACCAAGCCAAGGATGTACAACATGTCATAGCACAAATACAATACTTGTTTCTATTACAAATATAGATTACATAGCTATGACAGTAATTTAAAGTCAGCTACAGTATTACAAAAATAAAAATACAAAGAAAGCATGTCCACTATTGCTTACATGTATTATATAATAGCTGAGAATTTCTTGTTGAGCAACCATCATGATCACATAAGCAAGTGTAGAAGTTATACAGTAAAACCCCCCTAGTTGGACACCCCTATATCCTGGACACGCCTCTATATTGGACACTTTTAATTGGAACCGGCGGACATCCTATAATTTTACATATCCACAATACCCTATATCTTGGACACCCCTTTATCCTGGAACTTGGTCACCCCTTTTGTTGTAAGTTGGACAGGTTCATGCACTTAACTTCAATGCTTTTATGGGAAACGTTTACAGTTAGTATTTTGTTGCTTTGAATTTATGACTTATGAATGCCTTCTACCTGAGGATTACCTTATGGTTGAAGGTGTGAGACATTGAGCACATTGGAATGCAGCGAAAGTGTATAGTTATTCTTTTGTTGAACCCTTTACTGGAGTTTTAACTATATCAGTACTGTGCTTGCAACTGAGTTAAACAGTGTTAACAGAAATTGGAATGGCATGCTTTCGCTCATAACCAACAAGGAATGGTTGAAACTTTATTCGGATTGTGACGAAAATTCAAAAAGGGATGGCAAATTGCAAGATAAAAGCAAAACAGCAGTGTCTTGTGATGGACTTTTTTACAAGAAATAAGTGACATCATATGTTGAGCTACTGCCATAAGTACAATTAAAAAAAATACATTCTGAACATTTGTGCAACCATGAGAGTGGGTTTCAAAAGATTATTATTATTGGCATTAAAAATTATTCTTAATTCAAGCAAGCCTACTGTAGTTAGATTATGTAAGTAAATAGGTTACACTGTCTGTAATCTATCCTGGACACCTCTAAGTTGGACACATTATCGTGGAACCCCAAGTGTCCAAGTTAGAGAGGTTTGACTGTATATGGTGTGAGTTTGGAGTAGTCACCTGTGGAATAACATCCATACCAAATTTCATTATAATCTTCCAAAATTCATACAAACGGAATGGTGAATGTCTGGTTTGATCTAGTTTGCGCAACTTTGTATGTAAGCATCGTGTTGTGGTTTTTTCAATTAGGATTAATAGTTACTGACATTTCCAACAGTAAAACATCAAATCATTCACAGTGCACTTAATCTATACAGTTAATGTAGGCAAAACATCATTATGATATTATCATTTGTAGTGGATAACATCAAAATTTTTTAAACTAATTCAGATATTCACAATATAAGAACAAGATACAGATACAACCTTCATGTGCCAAATTCTAACCTCAGTAAATACCAAAAAGGAATTTCATTAAATAATCTTCCACCTACTATCAAAAGTTTCAATCATGATATAAAAATGTTTAAGCCAGCGTTAAAAGAGTATCTCCTATCTTACTCCTACTCAGTAGATGAATTTACATCACCCAAAAAGTCTGAACTATTATAAATATGTGTGATAATGGTGATGGTTTCTCATAAATATTTTGCTGTAATACTGTAGTTCAAAAAAATCTGTAAATAGCTGTTATATCGTTGTATTTATATTTGTACTAGAAACAAGTACTGTATTTGTGCTTTGACCTGTTCTACATCCTTGGCTTAGGCCTATGAAGGATCTATGGAATGTAAATAAATTCTATTCCAAGGTATATTAATAAAAGAACTGAGGAAGTAGAAACAATTATATTATCCCTAAACTAAGTTCAGAGTGTTTTGCTATGAGGACATTAGAAATAGAAACTTCAAAATTGGTCAACTTTGCTTCCATTCTATTATGTCATGGAATAATATTCTGGGAAAATTCAACAGACAGAAAAAAAAGTATTTTATGTCCAAAAGAAAATCACTAGAATGGCAGGCATTAAAATGTGTCTCTTTTAAGGAGCTTAATACTCTCCCTCTGGCCTGCAAAATATTCTTATTTTCATTATTATTTGCTGTGGACATGGAAAATTTTCAAGCAAACTCAGATGTGCACAATATAAATACAAAATGCAGACATAACCTACATGTGTCCAATGCTAACCTCAGCAAATATGAAAAAGAAGTTTACTACACTGGAATTAAATTATTCAATGATTTTCCTCCTACTATAAAAAGTTTAAATCATGACTTAAAAGTATTTAAGGCAGTATCTATTATCTCACTCCTACACAGGAGAAGAATTTACTTTAAACAATTTTCTGTTATTGTAAATAAATAAACGTATATAATGATCATTCCTTGATGTAATTATTTTACTCTAACACTGTACTATTTCAGATATATCCGTAAATAGCTGTTAAAACTTTGTATTTAATCTACTGTATTGTATTTGTATTGTGACATATTCTACATCCTTGGCTTTGGCCTATGAAGGATCTATGGAATGTAAATAAATGTATTTTATTGTACATAACCTCATAGGTAGGATATGTATGTCTCATAGCGCCATAGGTTCAGGTTATAATCTGTGAAGATGACCAAAATCGACTTCTTACGAGACTAAAAGATGGCTGTTTGTTATTTAAATTACATATTTAAATTTACGAGGATTTAACATAAATAACGGGCACATGATACTAATTTTAACTTTACTTTGCGCCACTATCCACAACATGTCGATAACGAAGTCCTCTGTTGTAGAAGACAAATATGGTCGCTCTATAACTGAATGCGCTCTACTAACCCGACTGAGACAATGAAGTTACCAAAATGCAAATGTATGAGAGAGTAAGGTCACTACTGTGGTAAACAAAGCAGGTCATGTGTGTGTGTGTGTGTGTTGTAATATGGCTGTGGTATTGTGTTCTTGTCATTTCCAGCTGTGATATAAGTAAGTTATGTGATATGAGGAAGACAGCTTTTAAAAAACAGGTACGATTAATTTAATGGAAGACATTGTATAATTTACAGAATTTATGAAATGTATTTTGCTAATTGTAGATCATTTATTCCTTCCCCGATAAGATTGAAAGGGCGTGATTTGATGTGATCTGAATCATTGTCTGGTTTATTAGCAATTCATATCATTGTTGTATCCGATTGCATATGTCAGATTATTCTTTATCGACATCTCCTGCTCTTCTGTTACTGTGCTGCTGCTTCTTGGATAAACAGGACTGCATAAGTCTTAAACTGCATTTATACATATCTGTTCTAAAGGCTTCTGACGATGGTGTAATACAATGTGGATTGTTGAGTTTTTGGCCTTTGTATTTCGATTAGCTCATTCAGACGCACCCCACACAGTAGGTGCCCTTCCCCTTCACCACACCTGAACACGAGAGCAGATCCAGCCCTCGAAACATTTTATAAATGTACATCAGACAATGGACAAGGTCCAAAAACCCAACAATTCAAATTCCTTTTATACAGTTTTCCAATATCCGATTTTTCGTGTATAACATTGTTTTAAAATTCTTAGATTTTTTAAATTTAATTTCTGTAGGTAAGTAATTGGGAACAACAATAACAAATCAAAATGATATTCATGAGGAAGTTAGGAGGAGACTAAATTCTGGTAATGCTTGCTACTTATCAGTTCATAATATTTTGTCTTCCTGTCTGATTTCTAAGAACCTGAAGATTAAAGTATACAAAACAATAATTCTGCCTGTTGTTTTGTATGGGTGCGAAACATGATCTTTTACTCTGAGGGAGGAACACAGATTGCAGGTGTTTGAGAATAAGGTGTTGAGGAAGATGTTTGGGCCTAGGAGAGACAAGGATGGGGTATGGAGAAAACTGCATAATGATGAGCTTAAAAATTTGTATTCCTTCCCCTAATATTGTCAGGGTGATTAAGTCAAGAAAAATGAGATGGGTGGGTCATGTGGCACGCATGGATTGAGCAAGATGTGTTCACCGGGTATTGGTTGGGAAGTCTGAGGGGAAGAGACCTCTGGCGAGACCTAGACGTAGATGGGAGGATAATCTCAGGTGGAATCTATTGGAGATAGGAGTTAAAGGAGACTGGAGTTTGTTGGCCCAGGACAGGGACTGGTGGAGGGCTTTGGTTAATTCGGTGATGAACCTTTGGGTTCCATAAGCCATCTAATTAGTTAGTAGGTAAGTAATACCTGTTTGATGTATTGTCATCATGATTGCATAGTATACTGAATAAACCAGGAAGTAGTATATTAAGTGTTTTGGTATTGCAGTCATGTCTTATACAGTGTCTTTACATAACCACTCTAAATTTAAATTAGTAAATATAACATAAAAATTGTTGCAGTTAATTGAATATCTGCCACAGCATCCAGACTCTTGCTTCTCACTGTGCAGACTTAGGTTCAGTCCCAGGTGACTTCAAGTGGGGTTTGTGGTTGATGAAGTGGCACTAGAGCAGGTTCTTCTGTTTCCTTCTGATCAAGTAGTACATTATTCTTGATTCTAAAATTAGGGGCTTTATCTCTGACCCAGCATTTGCCTGGTCTTAAAGTAAAGGCACTTTTTATGGTAAATGATTAATTGCATTTCAAAGTGATGTAATATTTTTCTGTGTGTAGGGTTGTAGGCCCAAATGGGGATAACTTTTGTAAGAGTGTGAAAGGTGTTAGATATGAGTAATATCTTGTTTTATGGAGGTGGCTTCTGGTTCATCATATCTGATATTATATCCTACACTTGAAGGAATAGGAAAGGAGCTCAGGAATTATTTTTTTGCAGTTCTAGAATAGGTAGGTCCCCTTTTCTTTGTCATATGAGGAAATGGTTTATTGATGACAAGCTGGCTCTAAATTTAGATAAAAGAAAATAAGGATATTTACAACAAATAATTCACCACATTATGCTTTAAGTATTGGTTGTAATGGAAAGTATATAGAAGAGTCAATAAATGAAATTTCTGGGTTTGCAATTTTATAACCATATAAATTAGATAAATTGTATTTATAAAGTGATTCCTGAGTTAAGTGGAGAATTTTGTGCAGTTCTATTTTTCATGTCAGCAACAATGACACTCAAATCACTCTAAATGAAGTATGGAATAATTTTGGGGGGTAATTCATCTAACAGAAAAATATATTCAGTTTACCAAAACAAATGGGTATTTTAATGTCTGGTGTTCTGAAATGTTCTTCATTGTAATGAGCATTAATTTATTTTTAAAGCAGGATATAGAACATAAATCACACAATATTTATGAACAGATTTTGTAAAATGTTGTTTTGTTGAAATGTGCTCATGAACAGTTTTTGGTTAGCCAGTGAGAAACCAAAGCCTCCTATCCTGAATTATTCATTGGATTCCTTATTCATTCCAGGAAATTAATGAGATACAAGCTTCCTGTTCTTTCTTGAACTCTGATAAGACCACTGATTATGATGTTAAGAATTTAAGTTAGGTTTGTACGGTATTGAGTGACTTTCAGAAACAGATAATTATGAGTAAAATGGAATGAGATTATGATGTATAGTGAACTGGAAATGATGGGTGAGAGAGCAGTCATGGTCTGTGTCATTGTACTATCCTGGCATTCATCTGGGAGACCTGTAGAAAACCATGAATCCGTGGTAATCAAACAATCTCTCCCTATCAACATACCCCCATAATAGGATTCATATTATTTAAAATGAACTCTTTAGATTTGTTTAAAATTCACTTAATCTTATTACATTCTCATATTTTCCATACATTTCCATTACCAAAGTACAGTTGGGAGTCCTAGGAGAATTAAATTAAAATGGATCTTAAAGAACTAGGATGTCAGGGTATGCCTTAGATTCAGCTGGCAGGATATGATTCAGTGGCAGGATTAACCGAGTGACCATTCAAACTCTGAAGAAGGAATCTGCATTGTGGAGTTACTAAATTCTATGATTTTTTCTGGTAGTTTTTTCAGTACATTATATTAGCATCTATTTTAAAGAGAAGAATATAATGTTAAGTTATCAAACTGACATTTAAATTAAGATATACTTCTTATTTTTTGTGAATGTTGTTCTGGGATGTGATGCCATGTGGACTTGTAAGTCGATACCAGTGTTTCAGAGAAACATTCACTCTCCATGTTCAGGGTTGAAGTGGGGGTTGATGGGAAGTTGATCGTTTGTATGGTGTCAGAAGACCATCCAGAATCCAGGATTGAGTAGGAGATGTTCTGGGCCAATAGGGAGTCTTTATGCAGGTAAACAGAAAGAAGAGTTGTGTTATAAGAGAGAGAATGTAAAGCCAGTCCAGGCCAGGAGATTAGGGTAGGGTTCAAGAAGGACACTTCAAGAATCCAAAAGCCAGATGAGACAGAACTATAAATGGGCGAAAAAATGGTAGTCAGGGGGATGAAGAAGATAGCAGACAATGGATGGGTGGATCAGGGATTTAGAAGGGTGGACAGATTGAGAAATAGAAGGTAGAAGAGTGAGAGGAGAGTGGTTTTTGGTAAGAATGGGGAATAACAAAGGATAGCAAGATATAAATGGGGCAGGCAAATTTTTAAAACAAGCCTTGGGGGACATTTATTAAGGGACCATGATCAGGAGAGGGATGAAGAGTGGTGTGTTCTGTGTTTTTGGCAAGAGCCTATGTATGTTTCTTCATGTTGTGGATGAGAGGTTCCCATGACTTGCTTAGGGAGAAGCCATCCAACCTGTTCATATTTTTGGTTTGGAGCTCAGTTTTTTCACTTCTCTGATGATATAACCCGTGTATCTGTACCTCTTGAGCAGAATACTGGTGTTCTGCATCTTGATGCAGTGGTCCAGGTTTGTGGTATGTTCAGCCACAACAGACTTACCAGGATGGTAGAGGTGGATGTGCTGGTGATTCTCTGTGATTGACACTTTGTCTCAATTGAATATCCAGTTTGTCCAGTATACACTTACCATATTCACACAGAATGCTGCATACACGTAGTGTTATTGGAGTCATCCTTGATTGGCCAAGAAAGTTAAGAGACCTTTCTTTAAGGGAGGCCCACCATCTTGATGTTTCTTGACAGTACCCTGCTGGTGTGATTGAAGGTGGTGCCAAGAAAGGGCAAAAACATCACCAAACTAAAATCTTTTCTGCATGGCAGTGAGACTCATTTAAGTGGATTCATGGCATCGAGAATCAGTTTATATAATGTCTAGGCTATGGACTGCAGGGCTGGAGTGTGACTCCTGGCCAGGGGTTTTCACATATTCACACATCCATATTGGCTCTGAGGCCTACCCAGCCTCATATTCAGAGGGTACTGCAGGTTTTTCCAAGGGCTAAAGCAGCAGGGTCATGAAGCTGATCACTTATTTCTACCTAGTGTCGAGGTTAAAATTGTGTGGAGGCTTAGTTTTTCTTGCCAAACACC